GTTGCTGGTCTGGATCTTCATGGTTGAGGAAGGGGAGGAGGTGAGGTTGATAGACATTCTCAATGAAATCCTTGGCCATTTGCTTTTTTGGTGGTAGAAAGACCAATGGGCCTTTAGTGACATTAAAAAAGGCACCCCAGGCTATGGTGGATGTGCGACCGCTCTTGAAAGTTGGTTGAAGGCAGCTGAGATCCTCTTTTTGTGTTTTGTGTGCCAGGCACAGTTTTCTTTGGACAGCTTGCCAATCTCAAACAACAACTTTTCCAACCAGAAAACTTTTTTCCAGTTGTTAACAGTCCAGGACAGATGTTCCTTTGCAAAAGCAAGTTGCTTTGTTATTTGTTGGTCATTGACAAAGGGCTTCTTTGAAGCCACGTGGCTGTGATAGCCAAGATCATGCACATAGTGTTGAATCATTTGGCAAGAAACAGTTTTAGAGGTGAGGTTGGTAATCTGTGCAAGCTTATCCTTGCAATGGGATACCAGCTCACGGTTGAGCTGTTGCAATTTGGCCTCCTTGAGCTTGCAAGGACCACCGGAGTGACTAGCTGTGGCAACATTCCCCTGTTCCTGATAACACTGGTTGACCCCTGAAACAGTTCGTTTGGGAAGGCCAAGCTTTTGAGCAACTCCGCTAGCTATCACTCCTGCCTTCATCATGTCGATGATAATGCTCTTCTGCTCGGTTGTGAGGATATTGTGGGTTTTCTTTGAGGGAGACATTGGTGATGGTTGGTTTTTCAGTATGGGTGGACTGGTGAGTCTGGCAGTGGCCAATTGAAATTTTTGTACTGGCCAATCAGAATACTCCATTGAAGTTCAAAACCTGACCAACCACAAGACATTATTCTGATAGAAGGATTAAGACCAATCAGAAGACAGGATTAAGATTGAATATGAGTTCCCCTGCAGAAATAATCCCTCAGGAAGCTCCCCTGAAGCAAAAACCCCTTGCTCTTCAATATAAAAGGAGGTCCTCCCCCCCCACCAAATCCAACCTTTCCCCACCAACTCAAAGGAGCTTGTCCTGAGTGGTTAGTTAGTGAATTAGTAGTAGAGTCATCAACAGAGAATTTTGCCTTTATGGGTTGAGTGGTAAGTACAAGAACAACAAAAATTAGTAGTTAGGAGTAGAAGTAGAAGTAGATTATTAGGAGTAACAAGTAGGGAAGATTAGTAGTGATTTAAGGGCAAAATCAACAACTTATTCAGTCACATAAAATCAACAAAGTTTTTGTCATTAGCTCATTGAAAATTATAACTTTTTTTAGTGGTATCATCTATAGGCATAAGGGTAGTATTAGTACCAGTATTAGCATTTGAGGATTTATCATTTTTTACATATTCATTCCCACTGGATTGTTTATCCACTATAAGAAGTTGTGAGAGTTCTGAAAAGAGTATTGATAATGGTGATCTAGGTTTGATAGAGGCCAATATCCATAGTAACTCTGTCTTGAAATCAGCCATCTTTATTCAAATATTGATTCAAGATTCCATATATTTGTGTTACTATTAAAGGGGAAGGTCTTTCAAACCACCAGTTCTTTTCAGCCTTAGAGATACTCCAGAGTATCCAAAAACCTGCATATAAGTAATCATAGTATTGTATCTCCTTTAATATTGAGAAATCATGTGATATTATTCCATAAATGGATTTCTTATGTAAGTTTACATAGGGTTACCCACTGGGCCTAACCCCAAATTCCTACTCCTTATGGTACTTTGTCAGAACTCAAATTACAATAAGAATGAGTAAAATAATTATTGCTGTGGACTGTGCAGCAAATAAGTACTTAAAATATGTACTTAATATATGTACATAAAATAACAGAATATGTACATAAATAAGAGTTGAATATAGTTCAAATCTGATTTATACAATGAGAGAGGAGGTTTTCTGCTGG